GGTCGAGGCTGTGGTGGCCAGGAGCGGCCACTGCACTCCAGTCTGGGCGACAGAGTGAGACTCCAACTCAAAAAATAAATAAATAAATAAAATAAAATTTGACTTTTTTTTTGAGTCAGAGTCTCACTCTGTTGCCCGGGCTGGAGTACAGTATAACACTCACATACACTGCAGCCTTGACCTGCTGGGCTCAGGTAATCCTTCCACTTCAGCCTTCAAGTAGCTGGAACTACAGACATGTGCTATCACACCTGGCTTATTTTTTGATTTATTGCAGAGACAGGTCTCACCAAGTTGTCAGGCTGGTGTCAAACCCTGAGCTCAGGCAATCCTCTCACCTTGGCCTCCCCAAATGCTGGGATTACAGAATTGAGCCATGATGCCCGGTCCTAAAACTTGACTTTTAATCCCTTCCTTCAAAAAAAAGAATTAAAACTTCAGCTAAGGAAGAATTAATTATCCAAATCAAATGATTTTCATGATAATATCAGGATGCTACTTGCTTTTTTGTTGTGTTGACATTTACACTAATGATACAAAAGCAATGGTGGGTAAAACCGCTGGTACCTTAGCACAAATCAAGGCATAGCATCAAAAGATACTAGTAGGCACCGTGTTCCTCCTTACCACAGACTCCCAGTTAAAAAATAAAAAAGATCAGGTGCAGTAGGTCATGCCTTGTAATTCTAGCACTTCGGGAGGCCGAGGTGGAAGGATCGATTAAGGCTAGGAGTTTGAGACCAGCCTGGGCAACATATCTACAACATTAATTTTTTAAAAATGTGTCAAGCCTGGTGAGGTGTGCCTGTAGTCCTAGATACTCGGGAGGCTGCAGTGGAAGGATTGCTCTGATCCCAGGAGGTCAAGGCTGTGGTGAGCCATGATTGTGCTACTGTACTCCAGCCTGGGTGACAGAGTGAGACTCTGATTCAAAAAAAAGAAAAAAGCCAATGTGACTTAAGAATGAGCTTGATGGGCCAGGCACAGTGGCTCAGCCTGTAATCCCAGTACTTTGGAGGCCAATGCGAGAGGACTGTCTGAGCCCAAGGGTTCGAGAACAGCCTGGGCAACTTGGTGAGACCTCGCCTCTACAATAAATCACTAGTGCGTGCCTGTAGTTCTGGCTACTTGGAAGGCTGAGTTGGAAGGATTGCCTGAGCCCAGCAAGTTGATGCTGGGGTGGCTGTGAGTGTGCCACTGCACTCCAGCCTGAGCAATAGAGTGAGACTTCAACTCAAAAAAAAAAAAAAAAAGAGAGAAAAAAATACGATAAATCACAAAAAATTAACCAGGTGTGGTGACATGTGTCTGTAGTTCCAGCTACTTGGAAGGCTGAGGCGGAAGGATCACCTAAGCCCAGCAGGTCAAGGTTGTGGTGGTTGTGAGCGTGCCACTGCACTCCAGTCTGGGCAACAGAGTAAGACTCCGACTAAAAAAATAAAAAAAATTTTAAAAAGAATGAGCTTGATGAAGTAGTAAAAAATATTAATTTTATTAAATTTCAATTCTTGACTATAAGACTTTTTAATATTTTCATTTTTATTTTTTTTGAGTTGGAGTCTCACTCTGTCGCCCAGACTGGAGTGCAGTGGCCGCTCCTGGCCACCGCAGCCTCAACCTGCTGGGCTCCGGCGATCCTTCCGCCTCAGTCTTCCGAGTAGCCGGAATACAGGCATGTGCTACATGCCAGGCTGATTTTTTGATTTATTGTAGCGATGAGGTCTTGCTGCCCAGGCGGGTCTTGAACCCGCGGACTCAGGCAATCCACTCACCTCAGCCTCCCAAAGGCGCGGGATTACAGGCTGAGCCACCAAGCCTGGCTGAGTTGTGTGTTTTAAAGACATAAAATAAAATCACAATACGGGTGACTCCTGCACAACATGGATTTGAAGTCCATGGATCCACCTAGACATGGATTTTTTTAATACAGGAGGCCCTTCGTACCCACAGGTTCTGCTTCCACAGATTCAACCAAACATAGATTGAAAATATCTCAGGATTCAACCTCTCTGGGAGACAGAGGACTAACTTCTCATTTCTGTGGGTTCCACAGGGCCGACTATGGGACTTCAGCATGAGTGAATTTTGGTATCCACATGGAGTCCTGGAACCAGTCCTCTGTGTTTAATGAGAAACAACTAAGTATATTTTAAGTGACAGGGTGACCAAATTCTTCATTCAATTTATAGGGAGTTTATTACACGTCTGGTAACTGAAAACACTGCTACTGTTAGTTCTGTGATCATCTTTTGCAAGCGGCAGGTATTGGTCATATTTTTTGAGTGGAAAAAATCGAAATCCTCTTGAATTGTGGTTCAGTACTTCCATTTCATTAACCTTAAGTAAAGGTCACTGCTACCACCCCCTAGGTGCGAAGTTGGCCAGGGGAGGGTAGCCCAAGAGATGGCCCCAGGCAGCCCCTTGCTTACCTGCTGGACCTCACTGAGGATGGAGTATGCAGCCTGGATCTGCCTTTTGCTCAGCTTACCCAAGGGCATCTTCTGAAGGTCAATCTATGGAGACAGGGGAGTTTCTCCTTTGAAAGCTGGGAACTGCATAGTGTGAAGACAAGAGAGCCAGACAGAGCACCATTCCCCCCCTCCCTGCCTCTTGGGCCCCAACAACGGAAGCAGGCAGAGTCAGATGCCTGCCGGTTTTCCTGAGGAGAATCTTGACCTAATCTTAGAGTTTGTAGCCCCATTCCCACAAGAGGGATAGAAGTCTGTCTACAAGAAGATTCTCACTCACTTCACAGATGCCTGAGATTAGCCAACCATGGCTCCTCCACCTCATGCTCAAATTCAAATAGCCCAGCCCTTTGGGAGAAGACACAGCATAATTCCCATTCAATTCTAAAGTAAGGATCAGGGCCTGCTGGTCAAGACTGCCCATCTCAGCACCCCCAGAAGCCTTCCTTGGGGTCCCAGAGCCAAGGCAGTAAGTAGAGTCCTCCTTGGGTTCCCAGCCAGAATTTTCAAGTGGTGAACAACTTATATACTTATATTCAAATCGACGCGGTCCCTTTCGAATCAATCATCCCTAACGACTAAACATTTGTGTCAGCAACATTGCCACTGCTCATGACTCCCTGGGAACTACCCTCCAGAGATGCCCTAAGCTGCAGTGGAAGGAGAGTAAGATTTGCAGTCTGAAGGCCTGGTCACCAGTTAGCTGGCAAGGCATCCACTCCTTGGTTGTAAAGTGAGGCCACATTCCTGAGAAGGTGCCCACTGCCTTTTGTAAGTGGCCCTGCCTGTGCTAGAGACACCTGTGTGCCAGTGGCCTCCATGCTGTATCCTGAGACACTGTCTCTGGGGATTTCACAAGAAACCCTTCTGAGCTCCCTGGGGGACAAGGCTGCACCTTCCCCATCTTTGCATGTCCAGCACTTCCTGCAGTGCCTGGAACAAGGGCAGAGCTGGACAGGAATTTCAGAAACGGAACTGCTATGGTAACAAAAGGAAACAAGAGGATGTGAAGAGTGCTCACAGCCCCTTAGGCACCAACCAGGAGCTAGCAGCGACAGCTTGTAACAACATTCACCTGCCCTGGCACGCTCGCTCCTCTGTGCCCTCAATACTGGAAACTCACATCCTCAGGGAAGATCTGATTTCTGGCAAGAGTTAAATCGTTGGCGCTACATCTAGGTAAGAAGGTAGATGGTGTATCTCAAGCCAATAACAGGGATACAAGAAAAGAGAGGGGTGACTTTGGTATGCATAACCAATCGCTCTGAAAGCAATTCTAGAGAAGAAGCTCCAAGATGTTCTGATCAAGGGCAATGTGGCCAGAGTAAGAGAAGCACTCTGAAGGGAGCAACGTTCTCCAAGTTGTAGAACTCTGGTGTGTATGTAAAAAAAGAAAAGACCTGGTTGCCCCAACTCCACATTTGTCAAAGTATATACACAGACTCCAGAACAAAAGATGGGTTCCACCAACACAGGCCACCCTTACTGCTGGAAAAGAAACTCCAGTGCTGGAGAATGGATTGGGAGCAGTGGCTTTACAGCTGCCAGGTTCAGAAAGAAAGTGAAAAAGTGGGGAAAAGGCCTCAGGCTCAGAGACCCTTGAGCCACAGCTGCAGTCAAAAGGCAGCTCCTAACACAGGGGGCTTGGAGCCCCTGCCCAGCATGTCGGGATGTTGTGTACTCAGGATGGCCCGTCTTGCAGGGAGAGTCAGGTTTCCCCAGTGCTGAGGATGAAGGCTTCAGGGCCATAATGTCTACTTATCCACGCGGTCACCCCAATCCTATGTGGGCCAGGAGTAGGCACCCTGCTTTCCACCTACTCCCCACCAGCAGCAGGGCCCCTGGCTCTTTTCTTTCTGCTAAATCAGTTACTTGTCTTAGTAAAAAATAACATAAAAATGTCACCTCACAGGAAAGCACTTAGGTCTGAGAACAGTTGATAACTTCTCTGATTCACAGATAAAGCAGAGCATGGAGGCTGGAAATGCTTTGTGGAACTTAAAACATTCCTGGGATAGAAACACTCCTTTCCTCCCTAACCTCAGCACCAGCACCTCTCTACCTCTACCACTCCTTCATTCTTGATGAGCCCACCCACAGGTTGATAGCTGGGTGGACCTACCAAACAGAAGTCTGGTCACACATCTATTTGAACCAGCCCTGCCATTTTCAAACCCAACAGAGGAGGTAGTAACTCAACACTCCATTCTCTAATAACAGTGGGGCTGTAAGCAGGCTTGCCAGGCTGAGCTACTGGTAGAGGGATGCTGGAGTGGCCCCAGTGTCTATGGGGTCAATGTGGAAACGGCTGCTGGTAGTTTGTACTATCCAGGTTTCACCTCCTGTACCCTCACCAAGGCCAGCAACTAGGACTATGAGGAAGGACAAGAGAAGAGGCAGGGCCTGTGGAGAAGGGATTGAGTGCTTTAGGGTGGCTCAAGATACTCACCACCTTCACTGGGTTCCCAGGAATCCAGCACTAAGAGAATAATCAAATGCAGCACAGCTAATCGTTTTTCGGAGCAGCTTAAAGCCCCTGAAAGTGGTGGGGGAGGAGGACGAAGGCTATGTTCGTTGGCCACTAGCAGAAGCACTTGGACCACCTCTGCTCTGATGGCCACCAGGGTCAACACTCAAGATGCCAGGAGCAGCAAGATCAAGAGCCCTTCTGCACTCCCCTCCCAGGGGAAGAGCGGAGATGAGCTGGAAATGGGGTGTGCTTGGCCTCTGCCTACAGCTCTGCCCTGGGCAGGAGCATCACAAATCCAACAATCAATGCCCCCACCACATCTCCAACCTTTTTTTTTTGAGTTGGAGTCTCCCTCTGTTGCCCAGGTTGGAGTGCAGTGGCATGCTCATGGCCATCATAGCCTCAACCTGCTGGGCTCAGATGATCCTTCTGCCCAGCTAATTTTTTGGTTTATTGTAGAGACAAGGTCTCACCAAGTTGCCTAGGCTGGTCTTGAACCCCTGGACTCAGGCAATCCTCTCACCTTAGCCTCCCAAAGTACTGGGATATCAGGTGTGAGCCACCGCACCTAGCCTCCAACCTTTTCTTAAAAGTGGCAGGAATTTTATCTGCTGAAGCAAGTGGCAGAATTTCTCTGCACCTTCTGACAGTTCTGGGCACTGTGCCTTTCTTTTACTGTAAGGGGGCTAAGTCCCAGACGTCCCATGACAACTCTGGTTGCTGGTTTGGTTGGTCCACAAAAGAACCATGACTATACACTGTCATGGCAACAAGAAGGCGAAAAGTGCAAAGGGGACAGCTCTCTACAACACATCACACACACTTAACAGCAAACAAAACGGCCTTTTGCAAAATAGCAAGCATGCACTCCAGGTCTCAGCACTCCTATGGTCTAAGCCTGAACGACAGTTATGGGACGCTGACAGCAGACATTTTGTTTTTGAAACAGAGAAACAAGAAAACAAGTACATACAGAGAGCTCTTCACCCATTCAGCACTTAACATCATCCTCAGAAAATGCTCATAGATACAATAATAAAGTGCAATAACCTCATACTCCACCATGGCCTTCTTCATACTTTCCACATCAAAGATCATCTTAATGAGGTCCTGAACTGGCTTGGGGAGCTTGGACTTGGTGCCAGGGTTTACTGTCAGCTTCTTTACCGCCTCTTCATCCTATAGAGAAAAAAGGACATCAGTAAGATGCAATTCGACAACCTAAGGAGGGCGATGGTGGGGTCTGAGGGGGTTGGGCTGCAGATAAAGGACACAGGATGGACTGTCACCAGCAAAAAACAACAAAAAAATAAACCTCTGAGTTCATCAAAAAGGTTTAGGCAACAGTGGCCAGAAGGAGCATGCATGACTGTGCATGTGGGCCAGACACTTCCTGTATACCCCTACCCCCAAGTCCTCTTGGCTTCTCCAGATTCCTACTATAGCAGCCACTACAGCATCTGCATGGGCCAACACACCCTGGGGTTGCCGGTGCCCTGCCTGAGAACCTGCCTAGCACCCACTCATGCCCAACATGGGCAGCTATGAAGGCAAACCTTGGAGCAATGGGACACGAGACTCATGGTCAAGTTCTTCCCCCTTTCTATTACACTTCCTTATCCAGGGCCAGTTGTAAGAAGTTTACATAGCCTTCTTTGTGCTCTTCAAAGGATCAAGCATAACCCATTTCCTACTAGCCAGCTTGAAAGTGTTAAAATGCATCCTAACATTAACATCCCCTCCTGCCCTGTTGTATTCCTCACTTTTTTTTTGAGTCAGAGTCTCACTCTGTCACCCAGACTGGAGTGCAGTGGCAAGCTCATGGTCACCGCAGCCTCGACCTGCTGGGCTCAGGCAATCCTTCTGTCTCAGTCTTCCAGTAGCTGGAACTACAGGTGCATGCTACGATGCCCAGCTTATTTTTTTGATTTATTGTAGAGATGAGGTCTTACCAGGTTGCCCAGACTTGTTCTGAACCCGAGTTCAGGCAATCCTCTTGCCTTGGCCTCCCAAAGTGCTGAGATTACAGGCTTGAGCCACCGCACCACACCCAGCCTACTCCTCACTTTTTACCTGCTCCCTAGGATCACACTGCCAAAAAAACTAATAGCACGAGACTGCTATCTGGAAAACCCAGGCTATGTCAAAATCACACTGCACTGAAACTGCCTTAACTCTTCTCACTTTCAAACTTAAATCCTATGAGGGCACGAACTGGGCTCTGGTCATTTTGGTGTCCTCTAGCAACTAACACAGCGGTATTTGTCTGAAGTGAAAGTAACTGGCATTGGGCTTTGAACCTGGAATCTTCCTGGTTTAACCAAGCTGCAGGGAACTAATCTGTGTTGTGTTAGTGCTCATGGCCACTGTTGTCATCTTCATAGTAAACTTACTCTCAATGTTGAGTCTTTTCTCTTTTTTTGAGTTAGAGTCTCAGTCTGTCACTGAGGCTAGAGTTCTGTGGCACAATCAAGGCCACTGCAGCCTTGATCTGCTGGGCTCAGATGATCCTTCTGCCTCAGTCTTCTAACTAGCTGAAACTACAGGCATGCACCAACATACCTGACTAATTTTTTGGTTTATTGTAGAAATGAGGTCTTGCCAAGTTGCCCAGGTGGTCTTGAAGCCCTGGACTCAGGCATCTCCTAGTCTCTTCTCCCAAAGTATTGGAATTTCAGGCTGGAGCCATTGCATTGGGCCAAAATATTGAATCTTAATTGCACTTTTACCCTTGGGGTGTAATTTCTTTAGAGTGCAAACTATCAAAGTGTTAAAAAGCCTTTTTTAAGTGCATATGCCTTATGAGCCAGTCAGTTTTATTTCTGATGATGATAATCATAGAGGTACATAAACAGTTATATGCATACCAGCATCATTACAGTAAATGCCTGGAAATAACATAAATGCCTAACTGGAGTGGTAAAGTTATTTTGATCAATTACAAATTCTGACCCACCCACAGGATAGAATTCCATGTAGCCTTAAGAAACAAAGCTCTGGATCAGGGCAGTTTAATACAATAAGTAACCACTGGCCAAATTGAGCTGTGCTATAAAAGTAAAATATACACAAAAATTCAAAGACTTAGTATAGGAAAAAACAAAAGGAAATTTTCTCTTTAACAATTTTGTTGGTATAGATAAGCTGTTGAAGTGAGAATATTTAGAATATACTGAGTCAAATAATACTAAGATTAATTTCATTGGTTTCTTGCTTTTAAAGATATGGATACTAAAAACTTTATAATAAATTTTCTTCAGTGGCTTGAGTTATAATTCTATTGGATAGCACTGCTCCAGAAGACATGGGGAGATGCTTCTGGCACATCAGGACAAAAAGTAGGTAGTTGCAACATATTACGTAATACAGGATTTCAATGTTATGTTGGTGGCAAAGGCACATGTGCAATGAATGAAGACTTGGAAAGACATATACTATGACTTTAATGGTGTTTAATTCTTGGTGATTTTAATTTTTTGTGCCTTTGTAATTCTCAAAAGTTTCTAAAACAAATATTTAACTCACTGGGAGCACTACTGAGTCAGACCAAGTCTATCTTCCTTGTTCGAAGTGAAGGTAACTGGCAAAGTGCAGGATATCAACCTCAGTATTATATAAGCAAAAGTCAAATTCTATTTTTAACCCTTTGCACTCAGATGTTCCCTTTGAAGGGATATCATAAATCTAGCAACCACTCGGATGCCCCCCCGCCTCAGGAGACATAAAGAGACTGTGCTGGTGATTACATAGGACAAACTTATGCCAGTGCACACTTTAAAAAAAATGCATGTTTCCTTGAAGTTTTCCATTCAAATTACATGAAAAAGCAAATAAAGAGATGGAATGTAGACTGAGATACATGTAAAAAAAAATTTAAGCTGGAGTTATGTAGAAAGAATGTATGAAGTGTTTTCACAGTGGTGCACAGATTGGACAATAAATTACATATTAATGTGGGAAGAAGAAAATGAGACTGCACTGTCTCCCCAAATAGGAAAAGACCAGGTAAAAGACGTGAAACAAATTACTATTGTACAACATGTATCAATGAACCTGTAACGCATGTCAACAACTGTTTCACGTTACCGCACCTTAGAAAAATATAGGATATAAAAATTTGATTTTTTTGGTAAGTTCCTCAATGTCCAAAATTCCCTAATAAACCAAATATCATTACAATAAATTAATTGGCTCCAACACATACTATTTAATATGAAGTGATTCAGCTTTCACTATTTCATAAAAAAGTGTGGTTGAGTTGCTGGTGCGAGATATCTTGAGTGCAAAGGGTTAATGTAGAGGCTCATGACACCCTCTATGACCTAGAGAATTCCTCCTTTGAGAAACGCTAGGCCCCAATGATTTGGAATTAAATTTCTACCTACCCACAAGTCTCTCCTTTTGTAACATAAATGTGTATTTTCTTCCCTGATTAAAAAGTAATCGAGGCTGGGCTTGGTGGCTCAGTGGCTCGGCCTGTAATCCCAGCACCTCGGGAGGCCAAGGCGAGTAGATTGCCTGAGCACTCCAAAAATGGGTTCAAGACCAGCCCAGGCAACTTGGTGAGACCTCATCTCTACAAAAAATAAAATATTAGCCAAGTGTGGTAGCACGCGCCTATAGTTCCGGCTACTTGGAAGGCTGAGGCAGAAGGATCACTGGAGCCCAGCAGGTTGACACTGGGATGACCATAAGTGTGCCACTGCACTCCAGCCTGGGTGACAGAGACTCCAACTCAAAAAAAAAAAAAAAAAAGTAATCAATTCTCTTTTTAAAAAGGCACACACTCTGCAATAAAGAAAAATAAAAGAAAAAACAAACATCAAGCAAGAGATAACTCCCAAACTATAGATAGATATTCCTAGGAAATAATTTGAGACTAAAAACCATGACCTTGCAGAACATGTAAAAAGTTAAAACAATTCTACCCCATGACAGACCAGATCACATGACTGATGATGAACACAAGTTCAGATAAAAAGCCTTATCTGCTGGGTGTGGTCCCCATACCCGAAATCCCTGCACTTTGGGAGGCCAAGATGGAAGGATCACTTGAGGTTAGGAGTTCAAGACCATCCTGGACAACACAGTGACTCTGTCTCTTCAAATTAAAAAAAAAAAAAAAAAAAAATTAGCCAGGTGTGGTGGCATGCACCTTTAGTCCCAGCTACTCGGAGGCTGAAGTAGGAGCCCTGGAGTCTGAGGTTATAGCGAGCATGATTGTGCCACTGCATCCCACCCCCAACCTGGATGACAAAGCAAGATCCTGCCTCAAAAAACAAAACAAAACAAAAAACAAAAAGCTGTATCTGAAATTAGTGAATTAACCCGTTTTGTTTCAGGAGCAACTTCAAAGACTGTTCCTCCTTGACATCTCAAAAATGCTACCACCAGCCAGGCTCGGTGGATCAGCCTGTAATCCCGCGCCTTTGGGAGGCTGAGGTTAGTGGACTGCCTGAGCCCACGGGTTCGAGACTCGCCTGGACAGGCGAGACCGCATCTCTACAATAAATCAAAAAATCAGCCGGGTGTGGTAGCGCATGCCTATAATTCTGGCTACTTGGAAGGCTGAGGCATAAGGATCACCGGAGCCCAGCAGGTTGAGGCTGCGATGGCTACCACCATTCTCATCTAAGTTCCATTTCATATTTCATGGCGTAGACCTTATTAAATACTTTCTCTGCATCTAAAGAGATGATCATGTGATTTTTGTCCTTCATTCTATTCATATGATATGTTAGACATTGATTTTTAAAATAATGCTCAACCTTACACTCCGGGGATAAATCTCACTTGGGCATGGTGTATGAAACCTTACATGATTTTGGATTCAATTTATTAGTTATGTTGTTTAGAATTCTGCACCTCTATTCACAGAAATATTGTTCTTTAGTTTTCTTGTGATATCTTTGTCTGGCTTTGGAATCAAGGTAGTACTGGCCCCTCATGCAATTTCATCTACTTTTTGGGAGAATCTCTGAAGGACTAGTATTCTTTGCATGTTTGGTAGTATTCACCATCCTAACATCTGATCCACAGTGTGGATTTTAAAGAACACAATGTCCCTCTCTTTCCCTAGTAGACGGTGTAAGGGCATACATAATTACCTGGCCATAGTCAATCTCCAGAGGGTAAAACTTTTTGGGATACTTTGTGAAACTTTTGGAGTGCCAGGCATTCCCAGTTTTTTCTTCATATAATTTCATGAAGTGCTCAATGGCATCCTCCTTGGATGGCATCTGCTCCAGTTTGTTGCTACCGATCACTGTTCCCACGCGGCCCCAGGACCTGAATATCCAATACCTATGGGAGAAGGAGGATATCAGATACAAACGTATGGGTCATCTGGTCACATTTCAGCAATTTCCCTTCCCTGCCATTCCATCTGGATGAGGAAGAGTTTTAAACATCCAAACATGATGATGATTAACACATAGCAAAAGGGACTGCTATTACAATAAAGGGCCTTAATCTTATTAGAATTTAGCAAGAATTCCTTTCACACACCTTTCCACTCACATACAGGTCCCGTTCTGTGTTGGCTGTAGTAAGTGGCAATGTACTCGCTAGATGAGGACCACACTGCCCAGAAACGTGTGACTGGCAAAGTCAGTCATCCTTTCACCATCTCCTATATTCCATAATCTGCTTGACTGCCTCGACCATGTTAAAAGACAAAAAAACTCAGCAAATCCAAATCTCTTTAGTAGCCAGGGAAAGTTTGAAGGGATATTAAAGACTAAGTTCAGTGCTTCCTAAGGCTATTTCTTTGAAATTTTAAAAACATGTAAAATATGACAATTTTGATTCAAGTGGCTAGAAGATAAGCCAGTTGGGAGAATATATGAAGTCACATCCTGGAACAAAGATAACAACGCTACTGATGGTCAGTGGCTTCTCTCTCCACCTCAACTAAAGGTACTGTACTGTGACACACTTTTGTTCTGTGATTAGGTTTGATTTCTCAGGGACTGGGAATAACTTTGGTTTCTTGAGGCTGACAGTATAGCACTAACAGCTGCTGGACAGGCCCACATCTCTACACAACCACATTCCAACCCCAGAATTCACCTGCTTTCCTTGTCATCCTCCAGAAGTTGCAGCTTGTAATAGGAGTTGGTTCCTTTAACGATGTCCACCAGGCCAAGGGTGGCACTGAAGACTTTCCCACCTTTCTCCAGGACGTGTGCAGAGTGTTCCAGACCTGTCCCAGAGGCAAAGCTCACACAATTCTCTCTCCCCCAGAGGGGCTAATGCTCTCAGGAAAGGGGGAAAGTGGTTACAGGCCTAGGGGTCACGTCTGCTTGGACACACTACCACCACCTTTGGGAGGTTTCCCTACAAGACACATGTGTTCTCAGGACCTGGGGGTGGGGGTGAGGGGTGGCGGTGAGGGAGGCCTGAAGGCACCGTCCCACTCCCCACAGGGGGCATGCCACAGGGAGTCAGGCATGTTTGCTTACCAGAATCAGGATCCACAGCGGCTCCACCTTTAAGAGTTAATTTCATTCTCTTTTCAGATTTGTTGATACCTTGGAGGGGGCAGAGAAATGTAAACACTAAATTAAAAAGGAAAAAGCGGAGGGCAGATGAGTCGTTTTCACTTGCATCATCTGCCAACATGACATCTATGTACGGCCTCCCACCAGCCCAAAGCAGCTGTTAACCTGTGTCCAGCGAAAACGGAAGTGAGAAAATTAGTTTGGGCAACATTCGACAGACCACAAAAGGACACGAAGGGAGAGATTCTCTGCAGGCAGACCCAGCCCCACGACTTCCCTGGTTCTTGGTTCCAGAAGGGCAGCTCAGGGCCCTTACCTTCCTCCTTAACAGGGCCCTTGCTTTTCTTGGAGAGCGCAGACCCTGACTTCCCTCTCGGGGCCACCACTTCAACAGGCTCTGCCTTCACCTCCGCTCCCCAGGGGGACAGGATGTGCACAGAGAACAACTCCTGAAGGCTCTTGGTTGAGGCAGAGACATCCTGGAGAAAATCCTCAGACACAACTCGAATGTTGGCTTCTTTTACTTCCTCCATCTTCTTATTCATCTTTTCCACCTCCTCTGTTAAAATCGGAAGGAGGAAATACAAACTGAATGTAAGTTTACAACCTAACTGAAATCTCCCACGCCTTTCCTCTGCTTCCAAATCTAATGCTCAGAGTTTTTTCACTCTAACAATCGTTCTTTATGAGCAACATCCCCCTTTTTCTAAGATATGATGCATTAGGGCAATCTTCTCCAAACCATTCTGTAGAGTGAGATGCTAACAGGTACTCTGCAGAAAGTTTTTCCCCCCAGTATACACGAGGGAGATGTTGTATACTGTTTCTCTGGTCTTGGAGACCTACAATGGTAATCAATATGATAAACCTATAAAGAAATCTGTTTAAAATTATTAGCTATGTCACCTCCCACCTCAGCCTCCCAAATGGCTGCAACTACAGATTTATACCATAGCTGGTTCTATCTTTGTTTAACTCAGGATTTTCCAAACATACTTGAGCCATGAACTTTTGTTTTGACAAAGAACCTATGGCACATCTCATGAACAGTGTGAAGTGATGACAACACAAGTTGAGGATCCCTTATTCAAGATGCTTGGGACCAGAAGTGTTTGAAATTTCAAATTTTTTAAAGATTTTGAATAATTTGCACTCTACTTATAGGTTGAGCACCCCTAATCCAAAAATCCAAAATGAGCATCTTGTCTGCATTCAAAGGATCAAATATTGGAGCAATTCACTTGAACTTTGGAATTACAGATACTCAACCTGTAGTTTAGTCTTCAGTTGGGAATATGAGACGTGAATATATACTACAAAGGAGCAACATGAAGTACATATACTAGTTTCCCTTCAAAAGGAACCTGAGAAATGATGCTAATGGTAAAGAGAGAGTGTCTGAGTGCTCTCTGGGTCAGACTCTTCCTCAACTGAACCTGCATCACAATCATGAGAGACAGAAACACCATCCTTGTTTTACCAAAAAGACTAAACTCACTTTTAGTACTGATACACAGGGAGGCCTTGTTGGCCGTCCCCGTCAACTTCCCCCCAAGCTTCTCAACGATGGTCTTCACTTCATCCTTGTTCTGGGAGAGTTTCCCAAGAGTAAGAATCTTCATGTTGGTCAACGGCTTATCTGGGGAGGGAGAACAGAATCATTAAACAGGGCCAACTCTGGCGCTGTGCCCCAGAAAGGGGAGGTGAAGAGCAGGAATGTCAAGTAGTGACTCTGGGAAAAGTCAGAACAAGTTGCAAGGTCCCTGCCTCAGCATCCCTCTTTCATCAGCTTCTCCTTGGGGGAAAAGCCTATGAAAACATGCCAGCAAGAAAGCAGAGGACAGGGCAGCAAACTGCCACCCGAGCGCCTAGTACATGTCCCTCAGCATAGAAAGGAGTAGGCAGGAGAGAAGCCAGAAAATGTCAGTTCAAAACATCGCTTTGAAGACCTCAACCGGGGTAGCTGGGGGTTTCTCTGAGCCTGCTCCATGGGCAAACCAGGAAGGATTCATCTGGTAACGAGGGACAAGGAGGCTGGAGGGGGATGGGAAGAAGAGGGGCAGCGCACGTAAACCCCAATTCCTTCTGTTATCCTCTTTCCATTTATGTCTAAAAACAAGCTGAAACTTTGATCAACCCATTTTAAAAATTAGATATGTCCATAACTATCCCTCAAAACTTTGGTCAGCATGATCACACTGAGCTGAGATAATTGATTCCAGGCAAAAAGCCTGGTGTTTCAGATGTCCAGCCCTGACTCAGGCTGGAAAGCTTGGACAGAGGAGTGACTTCTGTTCACTGCAAATAAGAACACAGTGCTGGTGACACATTTCTAGAATGGGAGATGCTATAGAGATAAGTCCTTCATGCCCTCCCTTTGAGGACAAATAACTAGGGAAATAGTTTAACTGGAAACTGATGAGGTCTCCAGAGAACAAAATCATTGATTTGTGTGTGAATTTCAAGTGATGGGAAAAGCAGAGGTAAGACCTTCAAAGAAAGGGCCAGAACATCAGCCCCCACCTGGTCCTTGGATTCGTGTGCTTGAATCCAGGCTGTAAGCAGCAGAGTAGACTCAGGATGACCAACCACACACGCACCACAGTGACCACTAGTCCCCACCCAGGGCATGGGAAGGAGGTCACCGACTGGTTCATGTTCAGGGACGGAGCCCTCGTCCTCCTCCCACCAAACGGTGGCCTTCACCATTAGACTATGCCATGTGTCTCTGAGTAAATAAGCAGCAGGTCTCTTCTCCTGCCAAAAAAACATGCATTGATCTCATTGTCTTTGTGGGGTCGGGGTTATTTCTCACTAATGCTGATCAGTAACTTTTTTTGCAAGAGACCCAAGCATCACATTGAGCTCCAGATGACTGGTGGGTGGAGGGCAGTTGGAAGCAGGAAAGGAAGGCCTGGGAAGATGCTCTGCAGTGCAGTCCGACAGGAGACCCTGAGTGCTCCTTCAGGGATGGCTGCCTGCCTGGCCTTTCTCAGGAGCCCTTCTCTTGGCTTTCCAGAATAACAAAGTCATTTGTTCTTTCAGGATGTTTGTGTTCTCAATACCCGTGGTCTTGCTGGAGGATGGGCTGGGGCAAGGGAAGAAGCCTATCACCTGCAGGGCAGGGCTTCCCCGAAGGATCAGCAAAAGAGACACCCCCCTCCAAAGATACTCTCATCACCAACTCTACACCACCAGTAAACAGAGGGCAGACTAGTCCTACTGGGTCTAAGGTTGGGGTCCTCAGAGCCATACCTGCTGGAGCACAGGAGTTCACAGCAGCAGCAGGTGCCGAGACTGTGGAGGGTGGGGGTGCTGCTGCCACTGGGGTGCTGGTTTCTGGGGGGAATAGACGGTCCTGCTTTTTGACCTTCAATTTCTTGAGGTAAGAGATTTCTCGAAATTCCTACAGAACGTAAGTTTTAGTTGTTACAAAACCAGCTGTCCCTTGAAAGAACCACCTTACATAGACCACAGGAGATTTAACTTGTTAAAACAAACAAACAAACCAGCTGACAACCTGATCAGGGAACCATAACTGGAACCAATGACTTCAACATCGCTGGCCCCATTCTTGAGTTGTTCCCTTCAGGAGTTAACAAACCTCTCTGAGGTCACATATCTACTCCATGACTCAAAGCCCCCCAAGACTGCACACACTGGGAGAGTACTCAAAGGAAATCAGAATAATCCCCTTCCATTCTTTTAATAATCTTAAAAGAATGCAATGGATGCAGAGAGCCCTACAGTATTCACTACAAATTCTTCCATCTTAGGCCTTACTCCAAACGGTCAAGTTCCTATGTTTCTAAGTCTTTATCCCATCAAGAAGCAGCCCTGGCCGGGCTGAGTTGCTCAGCCTATAATCCCAGTACTTTGAGAGACTGAGATGAGTAGATTGCCTGAGCTCGCAGGTTCGAGACCAGCCCGGGCAACTTGCTCGTCTCTACAATAAATAAAATTAGCTGGGTGTGGTAGCGTGTGCCTCTAGTTCTGGCTAGGCTGAGGTGGAAAGATCGCTGGAGCCCAGCGGGTTGATGCTGAGGTGGCTGTGAGTGTGTCACTGCATTCCAGCCTGGGCGACAGAGGGAGACTCCAACCCAAAAACCCCTCAAAAACAAAAACAAAGAAGCAGCCCTTTCCAGATATGCCCATGTTCAGTGAGTAACTGCTGGATAAAAGAGGTAACAGATGGCTTCCAACATTTACTGAGCACTAACATGTGCCGCACTAACAACCCAGGGTATGGGAAGGAAGTCACCGACAGGTTTATAGTCCCATGCTACTGAACACTAACATGTGCCACCGATCACAATGAGATTCAAAAGTTTCTGCCCCTGAGAAAACCTTGACTGAGAGCAAGATGTATGAAGGTGAACTTTTTTTTTTTTTTTGAGTTGGAGTCTCACTCTGTTGCCCAGACTGGAGTGCAG